TTGTAATATATGCATATATCAAATCATTGTGCTGTACATCTTAAACTTATACAACGTCATATATCAGTATATCACAATAGAACTGGAAAAAGAGGAAAAAAATCTAGCAATACAACAAACTATAACAGAAGAAATAAAAAACATCTGATCATCCCAAAAGATATAGTAAAGGTATTTGATAACATACAAATACCCCAACTATGCAGGTGAAAAATTGCATAGAATTTAATACACAAACACATATACACATACAAATAAAACTGAAAAAAATGTGTGTAAGATCAGTGCATTGGATCAGTGTCCATATCCATCTGTGATCTTATATATAATTGCCCAACACGTTACCACTAGGGCAGACGGGACACACATACAAGCAATCTCTCTGTGTTACATCTTAAAACTCTATGGAAATCTGCCATTATCTCAATTAAAAAGTCAACGTTTAAAAGGGTAAGAGATGGAGGGAGGAGAGTGGGAGAAGAAGGGAAGGGGAGGAAGAAGATATCAACTATAAGGAAACACAATTTCATTAATCCATCAAAATTTGGGATGTTAAAAATACAGAATAATAGTTTTGTTTTAAAAAGTATAGCCACTCCATCTTTCCAATGTTTCCACATCAGCTTGTAATTTTTTAAGTTTCAGAGCTTTGCATTTTGAGAAGATCACCTTCCACCAGCATGCTAATATGATGAATGTGATAACAACGCCTGCAATAAAATCCTGTGCCCAAAGCCTTTCCTTAACTTATATCACATAAACTGTGATTTTGTTCTGTTTTGTTTCAGTTATCCTAGGAAAAGGTGTAATTTTTCCAAAAACAAAACATCGCGAACAAGGAATAAAATGGAACCTCCATATTTCATAAAGCCACCTCCAAACACCCCACAGGCAACACCACGCTTACTTGGCAGGATAAACAGATGGGAAATCTACTGTATGTTCTTCAAATTAAAGTTAAGAATGAGGCAAGGATGTCCACCACCACTGCTCATATTCAATACTGTACGGGATCCCAGCCAGGTCCATCAAAAGTTTTTAATTTCATTAATTATACTTTATTTCACTTAATAGACTTAATTAGGTATACTTTTTTATTGTTGTTCAATTACAGTTGTCCCACTTTTTCCTGCCGTTGCTCTCCCCTGCCCCGCCCATCCCCCCTCCAGCAGTCAATCCCCACCCCATCGTCCATGCCCAAGGGTCCTTTCTATGTGTTCCTTGACTTGCCCATTCCCCTTATCCCCTCCCTTTTAATTAAGCATCCTTAGAAGAATTGAAAAGAAACAAACTTGTCCCTATGGGATGGTTTAGAAAATGCATGGCAAATTTTAGAACTAATCAGAGTCCATCAAACTCTCTGGATGTGAGATCCAGAGCAGGGGCTGAGGAGCCCACCATGGGTGTCACGAAATTCAGTTCTGAGTAAGCAGATGAGTACAAGGTAGAGAAGCAGAAAGCCCTGGAAAAGAGCTGAGCCCTAGAATGATGACTACCAAGTCTTGCTAGTCTTGCGAAGCATCTCCTGCTGCATTTGATCAAAGTGAGCACAAGGATGTGCAGCCTCTTGGCACCTCTGGACCACACTGGAAGAAGAGTTGTCTTGGGCCACACATTAAACACACAAACTCTAACAAAAAAACTGATAAGAAAAACAGAAGGTCTGTGCATAATTTTTGTGATATTTGCCACCACAGATAAGAAAAAAAGTCCGCACATAATAATCCTAATTATGCAGTGGCCCTCTGGATAATCTTTTAAATTTGTCAAGCAAGTCCCAAGTGTGTGATCACTAATATAAAAAATACACATATCTAAGTAGTAAAACTTAGTAAAAAACTTAGTAATATAACTAAGTAATGTTTTAAGTAAATTTATGATTTTGAGTTAGGCCGCATTCATAGCCATCGTGGGCTGCGGGTTGGACACCCCTGGACAGCACATGGGAGTGCCGGCCACCCTAGCTCCTGGTCGTGGGCGCCTGAATCGCCCTCTTCCACAAAGGTCACCACAACCGCCTGTCCGCCCTGACCTGGTAGACCTCTGCAGCTGGCACTTGCAAGAGCCCGAGAAACACACCATCACTATGAAAGACACACACATCTTCAGAACTGCAATAAGTTATTATAATTAACTCTAATTTCTACACAAAATGATTGTTTTTATTTATAAAGTTGGGTTTAGATGCTCCCACCATCAGAGAGCAGCAGTATCATAATCTACAACACAAATAACATCTAAAGCACTCGGTTTGGAACAGACCGTGGATCTTTGCAGTGAGTCTACCGTCCCAATGAGATTTTTTGTAGACTGCCCTTAAAATAAGATTTAGTATTCTGAATACAGAAAAAACTGATCACCAAAAAGAATTACCCAGGAGTGTCGGAATGCCCATTTTTACCCAATGAGTATCATTACATTGGACAATCTATACTAAAATACTTGAACTTCAACAACCTCAAGAAGGATGCCCACAAAAAGACCACACTGTTGAGCTTTTAAGGCATAGAGTTAATATAAACCTGGTAGAGTAAAATAAATCAGTGGCCTATGTGAAAGACTTAGATGTTTTCCATTTGACCCAGGCCACCTTAGCACCACTAAAGGAAGCCCAGTGTCCTTGGTGTTCTTCCATGTCTGTGGGGCAAAGGCTCTCGATGACGACAGTATTACCAAAGGTTTCCTTGAACCCGGGCTGCACTGCACAGGCCTATTTCTGTCATAGTCCTGAACACACTGCCCAGTATAGTGGCCTCTTGTCACGTATGGCTAGCGAGCCCTTGAACTGAAGGTCTGCTATAAGAGTGAAACACACAATGGAATTCAAAAACTTTGTACAAGAAAAAGAATATACAATCTCATTCGTAATTGTTACAATGATTAAATGTGGAAGTAATATTTTTATATGTGAGTTAAATAAAATATCTTATTAAAATTAATTTCACCTGGCCCTCTTCAGTGTGGCTCAGTTGGTTGGAGTGCTGTCCCATGCATGGAAAGGTTGAGGGTTCGATTCCCACTCAAGGAGCCTAGAAGAGGCAACCAATTGATGTTTCCCTCTCACATCAATGTTTCTCTCTCTCCCCCCTTTTTCTCTCTCTCAAAGCAATTTAAAAAATGTCCTCAGCTGAGGATAAAAACAACAATAAAAAATAAGTAAATAAATAAATTTTAAGAATTATTTTGCCTGGTTATTTCAACTTTTTTTATATGGGGCTACTAGCACATTTTAAGTTGCATGTGTGCTCACTTGTGACTTACACTGCATGTCTGCTGGACCGTGCTGACTTGGAAGGGCAAGAGGTATTTTAAGTGATATATGTATAATATCTAACATCTAAGGCATTAGCAAATATGTTTACAAGACCCTGTGTATGTATAGCAATAGTATAAAAAAGACATCATTTACTGAGTTCCAACTTTTTGGCAGGGATCACGATAAGTGCTTCTCGTAGATTATCTGTCATCCTCCCGACGGGAAATAATTTAGATCAGCAAGACTAAGTCATTTGCCCCAGATCACATGGGTAGAAAGTGCTGGATACCGGAGGTCTGCCAGAGGCCAATGCCTAGCCCCTGCACAGGGGGAGGCTCTGTTTGGAAGTGACCCTCTCTTGGAAAGTTGGTCACTATCTACCATGGGCAGGGACTGTCCAAGCCCTATATCCGTCAGTCATAAGGTGCTCTCACGCCACCAGACTAGACTGGTGATTGAGAAGAGAGAGCTGGGGGACAGGGCAAAAAAGGTGAAGGAATTAAGAAGTACAAATTGGTAGTTACAGGACAGTCACAGGGATCATTATGCTAAGTGAGATGAGCCAGTCAGAGAAAGACAAAAACCATATGATTTCACTTACATGTGGAATCAAATGAACAAACTAAATAAACAAAATAGAAACAGACTCACAAATACAGAGAAAGGACTGAAACGGTCAGAGGGGAGGGGTTGTGGGGCTGGATGAAAAAGGTGGAAGGATTGAGAAATACAAAGTGGTAGTTACAGAGTGGTCACAGTGTTGTAAAGTAGATCATAGGGAATACTGTCAATGACATCGTGACGAGCATGCACAGTGCCAGGTGGGTACAGGACATATCAGAGGGGACACTTTGTAAAGGGTACTGTCTGACCACTGTGCTGTACACCTGAAACCAGTACAAAATAATACTGAAAGTAAACTGTAATTGAAAAATTAAATAAACAAATAAATTTTGAAAAAATATTAAGAAGGCGCTCCCGTTCCGGTCCGGACGCCGTGGAGTGAGCCGTTCTGCAGTGGCGCGCAGAGGGGTGAGGGGCCACGCAGCAGAGCGAGCCGAGGCAGCACAACAACGGCACCCAGTGAGCTGCGGCCAGCTGTCTTGGGTGCCACTGCTGAGACGAGTCCCTCGGTTCCATCCATAGCCTGGCCTAACCTTCTGACTCTGGCCCGCTCTCGGAAAATGCCTCTGTAACAGCAGCACTAATTGAGTGGGAAGCTCTGGAATACTTGGGAAGGAAACAGCTCGCAGCCAAGGGGGCCAGCGACACAGCCACAAGAGAGAAGCAGACCCGCTGTGGAGCTGAGACAGTCTGCCAAAAGAAAGAGTCTTCCAAAACCCAAAACATCTTCTGCCACCAAGCTTTGGAAAAATTAGGTATGCAAACCTTTGGCCCTCTTTCATGCGTCTTCTCCCCCAACACGCTCCCGGCCGGCTAAGTGATGGAAGTCTACAGACATCTGCTCAGCATTACCGCAAGTGCCCACAAAAAGCAATTTTCCTTCCTGCAGCAGTTGGAAAAGCGTAAGTGAGGGGTAGGGGTGATGGGGTGGGGGCGGGGGCGGGGAGGCAGGGAGGAAAGCTGGCCAGAAAAAAAACACACACACAGAAAGCACAGTGACATTCAGACATGAACCTAGGAATTTCTGAATGGTTCAGAATGGGACACTTTGTCACCTCTGATTTAATTAGAAGACTGTTTTCAGAATGCTCAAGGTCTAGGCTTGTAATCAAGTACTTACGTAATCCTCCTCATTGAGCCCTTGTTTCTCAACAGAACTTTTCACCTCCATGGAAAACTTCTCAAACTCAGGTTTCACTGTCCTCAGTAGAGTGATTGTTTGGAGGGATGAGTATGCCTGCTTAGCTTCAAAGTCGTGTTTGTCTCCTCTCTTCCACGAGCCATCTCCTACGGGAGAAATAAAAATATTTATAATCCCAAGCCAGTCACCATAAAGGGGCCATTCTCCTTTTCCAACTGCGATGTGTCTCTACATGTCACTCTTGGTGGTCGCAACTAGAGTCATTGTCATGGTTTTGCACCTGGGTATAATGTGACGATGTCATGACCCTCACAGGAGAAGAAAGCTCTTTAGGACACGTGTCCCTTTGAAATGTGAGAGAAAGGGAAGCACTGTGGCATTAACTACCTTATAATAAGCATGTATCTGTAATTTTCAGCCCCCAAGAACGGCAGCGTTGTGGGGGCAGGAAGGAAGTTTTATTCCTCCTCGTTCGCACTCAGTTTTCAATAGCCATGGTCATCTGGGGAGGTCAACCAAGGTGCTGCTTTGGGGCAGTGAACCTGATGTTACGGAGATGTGGTGGCAGGCGTGGCTCTGTGTGACAATAGGTATACACACGTATGATAACGTGGCACTGTTAAAACGAAAAAGTTTGAGATTACTGATAGTTCCTAAAATATTGCTGGAATCTCTCTGGAGTGAGAAGTAGCTTAGGTGAATGGGAGAATTTGTATCTCTAGCTCTGGCGACATCATCAAAGTATTTATTGGACTGTGTTTAACAGTGCATCAATAGCAACAGAATGAAACCGCTCGCATGTATTGAGCAGATATAGAATAATAGAATCATCTCCACTGAGTACTTTATATTTAGAAACGAACTTAATCCTCACAAGACCCAGTGTGTGGGTACAATCACCGTCTCTATCGTACAGATGAGGAAACCGAGGCATGAGAAGCTGGGTACCCTGCTGCTTCACAGCTCTCCCTACATAAAAGCAAAGGCAAATCACATGGGGAGAAATCATCACTCTTCTCTTTATGATTTCATTTTTTTTAGACAGTACGTGGCCTTCGGGGCCCCATTCTTTTGGGCCTCTCCCTTTTGACAACGGGCTGTTGTTTCTATGAATTATCAGGATGATCCCTGCAGGTCTAGAAATAAAACAAGGCATTCAACCTCTGCAGTCCAACGCCAGCATCCTTTGACCGCGCTGAGCCCCCGGTCCACAGCAGGTGCCCAGAGCCTCACGGCTGAGCAGCGAGGATGGCTCTGCAGGACAAGGCCAGGGCTCTCGCTCTCCTCTTAACAGAAAAAGAGCTGGCGGCCTTGGAATTTCTATCACAGCTTAAGTCAGACAAACATGGACCAACTGAAAACTGTGCTCAAAGTCCGTGGCAGCCACGGTGGGCATCATAAGTGTCCGAACAGTCTCCAACACCTTCAAGAGAAGGATTTAGAGACAGACATGTAACAGCCAAAGTTATCACAGGCTAGTGGCTTACTGGGGGAGGGAGGAAAGTCCGTGGATACGAATAAACAGTGAGGAGTACAGAGGAAGAGACAACCGGCCCCACAGAGAGAGGGCTCCCTGGGAGGAGGAGGAGGCATCAGCTGGTCCTAACGTGTGAACAGGATTTCGCCGGAGAGGAGGGTGGAAAGGCCTGCTTGGCCGACCCAAGGCACGATGCCCGGTAGGCAGCAAGCCGTTAAAAGATAAGACAGAGCTGAGGACAAATTCATTAAAGGCTAGATCTGTTCTCAGTGAGCACAAGATTAAATTACAAGGCACCGAACAGAACTTGACAGAGTCCTCCTCCTCCCACACGAAGCCTCCCAGATGCGGAAGGGGCCTCAGCAGGAAAGCCCAAAGAGAGCTGGTGACCTGCACATCTGCCACCAGCCAGGGCGAGCCCAGCTGGGCGCTTGGGGCACAGCCATTGTGGCCTTTGTGACGGGGCCAAATCCATGTGCTGGGAAGACCCCAAAGTCTGAAAATGTCCAGGACATCCTCATCCCATGGAGGGAACCATTTCTCCTAAGCATGCATCAATATTTATTGATTCAGTTTTAGTTGATTTGAGGTGTCAGGACTCAGCAAGAGTAATGTTCCTTAGGCAAAGAGGGTCAGAGTCCCTCAGCTCTGGGGAAATTCTCTCCTGGGAAGCCCTAACCCCACTGGCCCTCCCAAGGGCTGTTCTGTGTCATCAGGAAGCACACACAGAACTGGAAACAGCAACGCTCTCAGTTACCAAAATAGTAACTGAGGGGAAGGCATTTTTTTTACTTTGAAAGAAATGAAATTCAGTACAATAAATCTGTCTACAATAACCTAAAAGACAATAACTTTGAAGTTTTGTTTTCTAGAGAAAAAAAAATGGAAACAATAGTGTTCAATAAATTTAAACCAAAATAAATAGGTGTCTAGTCCCACACTTAACGGACACTAAAGTTCCTGCTTTTGTGGGGGAGTTTCTCATTGTAAAGTGTCAGTAACATCTTCCATACAGGGCAGAGGTTGCCATGGCGTGACACCCCGTCCATGGGACGAATTTATTTCAGTGGACACCTGGGTACCCCTGGAGATCACTGGGTGGAACAGAACAGTGACATGATCTGAGTCGTGCCTTGGGAAACAGCGGTGGACTAGAGTGGGGAGACACGGGGGGTTCACGGCCACAGTAATCAGGCAAGAGTTTACAAGAGGTTAACTGTGGGAAGTCACCCCACCAAAAAATTAAACATGGTTCTCTGGGGGCAGTGGGGGGTCGAATCATGGGCAAGTTTCCTTTTCTTTCCTTGTCTTTTTTCCTTTCCTGTGTGTGTGTGTGTGTGTGTGTGTGTGTGTGTGTGTGTGTGTGTGTTTCTGAATCTGGGAAGTTTTCAATAATAAATGCCTACTGCTTTTTTAGTCAACAAGAAGGTGAGCCTTTGAGAATGAAAGCAGAGGACTGTGCGAAAGGAATCTCAAGACTCCACAAGAATGGAGGAGTGCGGGACGCCAGAGAGGGAAATGCGTCACCAGTGCTGCCGAAGAACGGGGTGTCACTAGAGGAAAGAGCAGAGTCAGGCAGAGGAGGTGGACAGGGAAAGTGTAATGATTTCAGGGAGGATCACGGTCAGTCCAAGGTGATGACTACGGAACGCCCAAGTGACAACCCCAGGCCGGGGTTGGAAATAATGGTCTGAACAGAAAGAGAAGCGAAGGCTCGAGAAGGTGTTGGCCGTCACTTCCATATGGCCCCGAGTGAGCACCAGGGACTGGCTGGCTGCCCTGGGTGAGGGAGTGCAGGGGAGGGAGGGGGCAGGTTGAGCCCAGACACGTTGGGGTGTTGCTTTCAGAGCAGAAGGAGCAGGAGGAGATGGAGCAGCTTGCAGAGAACCAGAAGAATGTGGTGCCCCCAAAGCCAGGAAAACCACGCTTCCAGAAGGAAACAGGTGGACACAATACTGAATGTTCTAAAGCTCTAATATAGTAGTCACTAGCCACACATGTGACTAATTAAACTTTAATTAAAATTAAATAAAACTAAAACTTTAGTTTCTCAGTTGCGCTTGCCACCTTTCGACATAAAATAGAACACAGCTGGTGTCCCTGAAGGTCCCATGGCACAGCACTGATTTCCAGGCATGAGGCACGGCCTGAGGTAAGGCTAACGGCCTTGGCAATGAGGCGGTTACCGGTGACCTTAAGTATAGCACTCTCAGAGAAGTGGTGGGCACTAGTGTCATATTCTTACAGTGGTCCTGAACAAGGGATTAAGACTGAGAGGAGAAAGAAGTCTTCTTGTGATAAGTAGGGCAGAGAAGGTGAGTCTTAACAGTTGTTTCGGGAATAAGGGAAAGCGAATTTGCCTTGCTTTGCTTGGCTTTTTCTGTTTTGTTTTAAACATTTCGAGTGAGAAGGGTGCAGAATATCCGTGAAAGAGGAAATGACCTGCTCAGCACCATGCCCTGTGGTCAGCAATCCTGCAGCCGGAGAGCTGGCGGGGGCAGCCAGCGGTTCCCACATTGGGATGGATGACCGTGTCCTCCTGTAGCTCTCGCTCCTCACCCAGGACCCAGCACACAGTAGGCCTTCGATAAATGCGGGCTGAATGACTAGCTGCAACATTACAGAATACATCCAAGAAATGAATGCCTGCAGTTCATCTGGGCTTCCACACCTGAGCCTACCCTCTCCAGATGTCCACGCGCGCCACGCCTGCCATGAGCGAGGCTGGTCCGGTTCCTCCCACCAGCAACATCAGCACCACGTACTGGGTGACGCCATCACCAACGGCGTTGCCTGTACCATTTCATTCTTTGATCCACATAAAAACTCTGTGAGGTAGATTTAAGTACAATCCCCGCCTCAGAGGTGAGGAAACTGAGGCTCAAGGAGGTTAACATGCCCAAAGTCATTTAGCTAACGAACAACAGAAGCAGGATTCAGACGCCAGCCGGACGCCAAGCACCGGAGCTGTGCCTGCTCCACATAACAGTGCGTCAGCGTCTGGGGTGTTCGAAGATGCAAAACTGCAAATGCGGTGGGGTGGCAAAAAACGTTAGAAACAAAGGTAACAGGAAGAAAGACAGAAAGGGGAAGTGCCTAAATGTGGCTTAACAACTGTTTCAGTTGAAAGATTGTGTCGGAATTCTCTCTCTTTCCTCATTGTCCCAAACTGACTTTACTGTGCATATAATCACTTTGACAGCAAAGCATAACAAATCCAATCCCTCCCCTTTTCTGCCATTTTCCCATTTCTACTGAGTCAGACGATCTGTGTGCGTCACCTTGCTGTCCTGCACTTCCATCCTCACCTGCGTCAGTGTCCTCCAGGTTCTCAGTAGGTCAGGAGAGCTCTTAGCAGCCCCCAGTGGCACAGCCCAAACAGATAACCTTCCATGCAACTTACTTCTGAAGAAGATGACCAATGAACGACAATGCCAATAGGTGCTATAAAAAACTCTCCAGGACAAAATTAATCATCTTCTCTCTAGATTTTTTAACCTATTTTTTCAATCTTACTTCCCATCACTGGAATTCGCCCATAATATATTCTGAACTCCTACAGCAATACAATCTAGGCAGAAAGGAGACTATTTCTGAGTGTTCAATAAGACCCAATAACCGAGTAATCAGGAAATATGAACACACTGTCAGTATGTTTTTAAGAAATCCAACATCAATAAGTATTAACAAAATACACCATTCTTCCAGAATGGGTACAGAGTTTGGGGTGAGGGAGCCCAGGGAGAGGAGCATGTTGAAGAATTGCTACGAACGTACACCTGACCCTTCGGGCACGTCTTTGAGAAGGCCCTTTCCTGCGGGACACCAGACCCTTGCTCTCGGTCACCCTGCCAGCCATACGGTTCTGTTTACTGCTTCTGCTCTAAGGACGGAAGGTGCTTCAGGGTCCGTGGCTCACAGGGACAGTGGCCTCTCTACGTGCCTTTTGCCTCCTTCCTGAGTAACAGATTCCTAACATGCTATGGGGGGGTGGGGGGTCCAGCCAAAAGCACACATGTCCTGGTTCCCCTCACCAGTGGGGGTAAGCAATAATATGTCAGCAGGAGTTAGTGTGTGGGCTCCGCCAACAGAACTGAGTCACCCGAGAGGATCTCCTCTTTGCCTTCATCTTCCCCTCATTGTCTTGACTGACATCAAGACGCGATCCCTGGAACCCTAGCCATCCATCACCTCGTGTCCTTGAGGACGGAAGCCACTCGCTGAAACTGAGGGAATGAAAACACAGAAGCAGCTTGGATCCCTGGTGACATGATGGAACCACCACACCTGCCCAGGACATCTTACAGGTGAGATAATAAACCTCCACATTGGTTTAGATCAACAATCACTATTGCTGACCATCTTGGTTATTTGCATGCAGACATAACTCCCATCTCCTAAAGAACTCCTGGTCTTTAGGATGTAAAGTCAGTTAATTCGAAAACAAAATATGGCCTAAATCAATCTATGAAACTATATTCCAGAAAAATGTACAAACTTAACTTACTTTTAAAGTTCCACATGTAATAGTCCAAGTAAACTAAGACTAATAATAAATATAGCTAACGTTAATTAAATGCTCAAGGAGCTTACTACGTACCTCACATACCTCATCTCATTTATCACTCAGCCTGATGCCATTAGGTAAATACTATTATTATCACCATTAGAGGAAACTAAGGCTTGCGTGTGAGGGCAGGGTCACGTCCATGTGCCAAGAGCTAGTATATGGCACAGCCTCTCAAGCAGACTGACACCTGAGCCCAAAGCCTGAGCAATGAGGCTTAAAAAGGAAAAGACCGGGAAATCTGATCACACACACTTGAGGATACTTTGTAGGTTGTATAAAAGCACACTGTACACTGTATAACTATGTAATTTTTCAAGAAGCAAAAAAACTGAACTCAGAAAAACAAGCTTTAAAAGTTGTCCCCAAATCACCAACGGTGTCATATACATGTATATGTACCTAAAGACAAAAAACAGAAATTAAAGTAGCACCACTGTTACATAATGTTATTCTAGAAGCTCTTGTCAGTACAATAGGAAAAGAAATAAGATGTTAGCTATCAGAATGAAGGAAAAACTTATTTTGAAAATGATATAAAAATTAATGGAATATGAGTTGTTTAATATGTGGAATTCTTGTGAAATAAATAAGCAAAACTCATAGATGTCTGTATAACAATGACAGTTACAAATGCAGTAAGGTCAAAAGGTCATGATCACAGTGACAACCAGAAAACATAAAATATCTAAGAATGAACTCAACATGGGTGTTGCAGAATTCAAATGAAAATAAATGCAAATCTTTGCTAATGGACATGAGAAGAAATTAAAATAAGTAAAAGAATTGAAAAGTTAGGAGATATGAAGTTGACAGGGATGTAGGAAAACAGTCTCACGCATCATTATTGCACACGTGTAAATGGGTAAACCGCTCTCCGAGACAACCTGGCAGTGTCTCTCAAGACTTAAACATGTGTAGCCTTTGACCCAGAAGTTCTACTTCTAGATATTTGTCTTACAGAATAAATACGTGTGAACGTGTGGGCACACGTGTGTACGCACATGAATGTGCACTCAGGGCAACTCAATATATCCTCGTTCTTAGAGCCTAAAAGGCAGGAACAGCACCAACATTTAAAACCAGAAGACTGAACAAGTAAAGGTGGCGTGTCAACATTATAAAAGACTGTATACCCATTCAATAAATTGTGTGATCATTTTCTTTAAAAATATTTTGTAAATATAGATGTACAGTAAAATAGACACGATGGACACACTTCTAAATATTACCGCAGCACTTTTATCTGGGTGACAGAATTATGGGAACTCGCTTTCTTCCCTGTGCTGTTCTATGTTTCTCAAACCTTCTGTGCCCCTCATGTGTTGAAATGACCAGGGCAAAGGAAAGAGTGCAGAGGGACAGGACCCCGGGCCCCGGTACCTGCAGGGCATTTGCCCGTTTGTAATGTGCCTTCACACGCACTGCCTCCAACTCTAGGTTTGCAGTTGCCAGCTTGCAGAATTCAGAATAAATGTTTTTCATTTCAATTTTTACCAGTCTCCACCACTATCTCAACAAAGTCAGTACTGCAGCCAACAAGGTAATTACACTCTGATTTTGGGTCAAGAATTAAAATGCGGGTCTGCTTGTGAAAAAAAAGGGGGCGGGGGGGGGACAATTGTAGCAGCAAAGAGGAAAACGCCAGGCATCAATCCTGAAAGCCTCCAATCTCTGATTTTATCCACTACAAGAAAGCAGCAAGGACTTTTAATTCAACAACTTTTTTTGATCAGCATGAGATGTGAGTTTTACTGTCTGTATATGTGCAATGTTTAATCTATTAAGTAAGCCGGGGTCAGAGCGGGGAACTGGGGTGTGTATTACAAGGTTCAGACCCTGTCTAACTCTCTCTCAGCAGCCAGAGCTGGAAAGAGCGGCTCAGCGCCAACGTGCCTTCTGTGACATGCAGGCTCAGTGCCCCTCGGCTGCCGTAGGGCAGCATCTTGAGAAAGTGGCCTGTGGCCTGTGGCCTGACAGTGTCTACGTCAGAGAGAGCTCTGGCCACGCTGGGAAAAACGCCCTGTACTTGTGACCTCCATGAGCTCCTTAAACACTCTCCATCACAGGCACCCTGGAAACTTTCCCAGACCCACTTTAAGAAAGTAAATGCTTTCAATCCTGTATGTTGATGGTTCACGAACTTCTATATGGGAGAAGCGTAAGGAGCAGCCGTCAAAAATGACGGGGGCCTGGGAGCAGGGACTTCCGAAGCGGTGTGCCTTGGTTTTACAGTAATGGTTATTTTATGTGTCTCACAGTGTGGCCCATTACAAACATGTGGGTAACACACATAAATATACACACACACAAACACACAATCATGTACCTAAAATAAAGGTTTTATGCTACGTGTGACACACTTTGATGTGTTCTATTCTGTTACATGGATATATTCTAGTCTATTCCATTCAACAAAAAATGCTGCCCAAATACCACTAAAATTATTCCAATCACGGAGGCAACCTGCAGTTGGAAACGCACTAGGGAGGGGCCTTTAGGACCTAGATTTGTGACCATTTGGAGACAAGTCCCTTGGCATCCCAGGTACATGGCAGGGGGTTGGGGGATGTGGCTTGGGTTTCGGTTTCTCTCTCTCTCTCTCTCTCTCTCTCTCTCTCTCTCTCTCTTACTTGGGTTCTCAGAGAAGAAAAAATCTGAAGTGATGACCATGTTCAGAACCACAGATTTCTAAAACCCTAGCTATGGAAATCAAGCGTGTTGACGTAGCTCCCACTGTTGGTTCTTTCTGGCCCCTTCCCGACACCCAGCCACACGCGAGGGAAGGCGGACGCGCAGTTACCGTAGGAAGAGCTGTTGAAGAGCTCGATGTTGAAGAAGGCGTAGTCTCCGTTGGTCATCCCGTGTCGGTGCGCCGCCAGCATGATGCCCCGGACCGTGTCGCCACTGGCACACATGATCACCACTGGGGACAGAGGAGCAAACAACACGCGTCAGACACTGAAGCCAGCGGGCGGCTGACAAAGCACAAGGTACTTACACCGTCCTCAGGTGTAAGGTGTATCCTCACAAATCACGTATCTCAACAATTATGCAGGAGGCAAATAGTAACTTCACAGTGGAAAAAGCTATTGGATGCCACCATAACCAAGCGATGGAAGCCAGAGTCACCAGGCATGGGAACAGATTTCTGAGCTCCTGATGTAACACCCTCAGGGCCAAAACCGTCAAAATGGGTAGCCCGAAGCTAATCAGGAGGGTGCAGTTGCAGACGTAGCCTGGGGACAGTCTGCGGAAGAGCTGGCCTATGCTTTTTCAAATGGTCTGTTTCAGGGGTGTTGAACTTATTTTCACCAAGGGCCACATCAGCCTCTCAGTGGCCTGCAAAGGGCCAAATGTAATTGTAAGAGTGTATAAATGTAACTACTTCTTAACCAGGGACAAGGAGGAAATATTCCAGAGTAAAAGGCACTAAGAGGAACAGAAAACTCAGTGCAATGTGTGATCCTGGGTTGGATCCTAGACCTTAAAAAAATAATAATAAAAGTCTTGCTATATAGTAGTGAGACAACTGGAGAGATCTGAGTAAGATCTGTAAGTTAGATAATAGTATTGCATTTGTGGTGATGTTCCTGCTTTTCATAATTCTACTGTGGGTATTTAAGTGAACATCCTTTTTCTTAGGTAATACACAACTACTTAAGGGTCAAGGAGCATAATGGCTGAACTTGCTCTCAAATGGTTCATTAAAAGATAGTAATACCTGTGTGATATATGTGTTTGGAGAGGGGAGGGGAGGAGAGGGGCAGAGGGAGGGAGGGGAGAGGTTTGGAATGACAAAGCACAAGCGGCAACATGTTAACAACTGGTAAAAATCTGGGTGAAGTCTGTACAGAGGTTTTTTTCCTACATAATTTCTTACATATTTTCCAAAAATGTAAAATAGTTTTTTAAAAAATGCTTCAGAAGAATCATCAGATTTGCCCAATATGAGACAGTGATGAGCGTCAACTGCTTTTTAAACGTAATTGCAAGATAAACACATTTTCCTGAAAAAGCAAACTGAAGGTTTCGGGAAGACCCTTCACTGGGCAAATCAGAGGATGCAGGGCACTGTGGAACAGGCTTTCTGCTGTCCTCATTTTCAGACATTTCTCCCAAGCCATCTCAACATGTGTGGGAAAAGATTAGCAAGACTCCAGGTCCCTGCCCACATCCTCTCAGTTTTTATCCACACTGTCGGATCTGAGAGGCTTTAGGCAGCTCCAGAATGTTGTTGCCTGCCTCATAAGAGCTTCAACAGGCTCGAGTGAAGTGGAAACCTGGCCGTGACCCAGTTAATTTGATCATTGTTGCTGACCCTTGTCTCCATGAGGGGGACCACTGTGCTTTGCTGCATGCACAGAGGAGAGGAGAGAGCTGGAGAGGCCTGGGCGCGGTAACCGCATTGTCACGGTGCACGCAGGCTCTCAGAGGTGTGTATGTTCTTTGTGAAAGCGTGGGTGCTGAGAGATGTAAAACAAACTCTCTGCTGTGCCAAAGCTGTCTTGGCAACGCGCGCAGAGGGCTAGGGCTTGTGGATATTTTGTTCACTGCAACCTGCATCGACTGTTAGATCACGACTCTGACATTCCTCAGTGCTGGGGGCTCCGGGGCAGGCTCAACGCTCTGGGGAAGCTTGTTTTTAAACAATACAACACTCATGAAGAGCTATCACCGTGGGAGTGGGTGTTGTTTGTGCCCAGAAATATAGTGATGTATTTGAGTTACAGATTCCAAGAGGTCTCAGTGAGGAAGCTTTCAAAGAAACACCTCGTTACTCATTGTGACTTAGACTCTTGTTTTAGCAATGTTTCAATTCTAGTCCCTTCCATTAAAAGAGAGCCAAGGTGTCCCACAAAATAGCCAATAAAGGGCTGAGGCCGGATGAGTTTGAAGAGTATGGATTCCAAGCAGGGCAGTCTTGGAATCAACAGTGTCCAGGAGGGTTCAGTAGACTGGGGCAGCCCTCATCATTTTTGATCAATTAATCAGAGCACAGAGTCTGCCTCTGGAGCCCCAGGTGCAGAACATCATTCTGTCGGCACAGTCATGGCAGAGTCACTGCTTGAGGACAGAGTCCCAATAACCTAACTTAGATGTTTTTAGATAATCTGGAATGCAGATTACTTCAACTCAACGAGAACCAAAACAGCCACGAAACACATCTATGTCAACATGCACCTATGATGCTCACTGGGGAGGAAAATTATAAGGAGTGGGGGGTCAGTGAGGATGAAATGAGATTCAGCTAAGTCGGTTGAGTGATTCAGGCATCTAAAGCCACCAGGACTTGCTAACTCTAAGTGTCCATCTGAGAAATATATACCCAGCCCCAGACCAAACAGCCTGGGTCCTCGGGCCAGAGCACCAGCTTCCTTACGTCCCCTGGCCAAGCTCCATCCAACGCTGGCCTCGCTGTCACTTCTTTTTTTATTTCTACAGTCCTGACCCACCTCCATCTCGATCCCTATCACCACAAAGACCAATTCCTCTGATGGACACCTTCCTTCTTCAAGTCCAGTGCCTACCTAGACTAAGCAAGAGTGACCCAAGTGGCATTGTGTCCATCTGAACAGCTCTGATTATTTTAGATCTCATCCACTGTGTTTTGACCCCGTGGTTTAACTCTCAAAAGGAACCTTTAACTTCCAAGTCCATGTGCAGGGTTTTGTCTTCCTTGCATACAACCCATAGTGCACATTATGGTTCAGTTTAAGTTGCAGCAAGCACTCGAAGATGCTGGCAAAGCAGTCAGAGGGCAGAACCCTTCTGGATTTGTAGAATAATCCCTAATCTCTTCTGGTTGTTTCATTCAAGCCTAATTCAACAGCAAGTATTTTTAGCTCCTTGCCTTTACATAGTCCATCAGAAGATTAAAATAGTTTTCACTAAAATAGCATTCTCTTCCTACTCATGTTTCATCAGTTTACATAACTCATTAAACTACATACTTAAAATAAGCACAACCGGCATAAACAGATTTGGGGACAGCTCTTGGAAAGTATGTGGACGAGTGCAAGAGGTCTGCCGTCACGCTCAGGGCTCAGGGGATGGGTACTACCTGCCAGTGCCCTCCAGCAGTCGGTAAGGTCTAGAGAGAAAAGGGAGCATCGGCTAAAAGGGAGCACGACCTGTGAGTAGGGGTCGTGTAAGGCAGTTTTCAAACAGTTCTGTTTTATTTAAGTGTATTTAAATATCTAAATACCAATCTGAGGGTCGAATTGTTAGAATTCTAAAAGGGGGGTGGTATGATTCTAAGTTGCTGAATAGACTTTTTGTCATTCTGCCCTATTTTCTCCAACTTCTTAAAATCCTTGCCACTGTTCCCCCCTCCGCAACCCGATTCCCCCGTGTCTTCGGTAAGAGGCTCCTCGCTGCCCCAGCACTTTCTTGCCATCACTCCAAGAACTGCAGAGAGAGTGCCAAGAGGCGGCTACGGAAGTCAATCAGGCAGCATACCTGAGTTGGGGAGCGTCTCTTCCCCTGGGCTCCTGTTCCCACAGTGGAGCAACCTCCGAAGAGCTGACACTCAGTGTGCCTTTGTTCACCCCTCGCTACCCGCGCTCCCCAGAGGGAAATGAGTGAACTGTCTGCCTCCTGCTTCTAAGAAAAAACTGGGCACGTTGGCTCAGCCCTTCTTGCCTCCCCTCCGAGGTGTGTCTGCGTTCCGAGAGCACACATTCTGGGTGACTCTGGTCATGGGGTAGGGAGCCTGTCCTGGGGACGATCTGCAGCTGAACCGCTGAGCTGCAGTGTAGTGGGTGAACCTGCCTTATTCTGAGAGAAAGTAACGAGCAGCCCTTTGTCAGACCTAGACAAAGAACATCAGACCTAAATCCATGTTCTCTAATAGGTTCTTTCGATAATAAAAATGGTGCTTTCATAGTGTCTGTGTGACTCCTACATCCATCTTTCACTTCAACCTAAACCTGGAGGAGAAAAGAGATGTGACAGCGCAGGAGCAAAGGGACATGTGTCACGTGCTGCGAATCAAAAATATGACAGCAGCAATGAAAGGACAAATCTCCACGGTGAACTTGGGAGTTGACAAAGAAATACCTAGGCAAGAGAAAGTACAGGGTATCAATCCAGCAGACCTAACAGTCAAATAAAACAAATTCTAGAAAGAGAAAATGAAGGGGATAAAATCACCAAAGAAATAATTTAAGAAATTTTCCCAGAACTAAAGGACGTGAGTTCCTGGATTGAAGAGGCCTACCCTTCAATATCTTCAAGTGCATAAGGCAAAATTCTGGCATAAAAATATATCCTAATGGAATGTGAAACACTGTAAACAAGAACATTAGTCTAAAATTTTCCAGGGGAAAAAATACATCGAACAATAGATAAAGAAGAAGAATCAATTCCGGCTTCTTAATAGCAATGTTAGAATTTAAAAGACAGTCCTTCAAATTTTAAGGGAAAATAATTTCAGACCTAGAATTCTCTAATTACATATAGTGGTAAAATAAAGAAATTTTCAGTCATTAAACATCTCAAACTTTAGCTCTTATCCATTCTTTCTGAGAAAGCTCCCAGAGGATGTACTCTATCAAAAAAAGAACATAAACCAAGAAAGAGAACACAGAAGATCTAGCTGAGGAGAGGGGGGTGGAAGTTTCAGGAGGATGTTGAAGAAAGAGCCCAAAGCTACAACTGTGCAGCATGTTTAGAAAGGAACAAAACTGGAGCAGCTCAAGAGACTTAAAATATAAAATATGTAGATGATTTACTTATGCGTCCATAGGAAACTAAGCAAACAAACAAAAATAGACTTTTGAACCCCAAGGAAAACAAGTAGGGCAAGAAAGAAATGTCAGCTAGTGGCCTGTGTGGCTCAGCTACAAACAGCATTTAGAAAGTAATGGTAACGCGGACACTGAATACTGCTGAGCTAACCAAAAATTACAATACAGTTGTATTGGAAGGACGACTGGAAGGAAAGCCTGAGCACACGACAACGCAATGAAATCAGCAACGAAATCAGCATCTCCCACTTGAGATGACCACAAATAAAACCTAAAACTGAAAAAATAAAAACTAACATGCAATTTAGAGGTCAGAGGCCAAAGACTACAGAAAGTGCTACAAGAGTTGCAGATAGTTGCCTCCGGGAAGTGAGACATGGGGGGTGGGGGACAGAAAACCTGTTCCGAATGACACATGTAATATAGCTGTATATACAGCTATATAACTAACTTTCATAAAAATAAAATCTGTTTTTGAGAAAAAATGCTTCTCTCTGGTTGTTTGTACACTACAGAGCCGTGGTTTTCATTTGCACGTGAGAGGTCGCACCTTCGTTGTGATGGGCACCAAGTCCCACTGGCCCCAAAGGCTTCAGAATTTCCCCAGGGCAGCCCACAGGCTCCTTTCTTCTCCTGCTGGGTTTACTTAGTGATTTCACTGACCGTGGGCTCCCCGCTGTAAAATTCTGCTGATCAACCTCTTGGTGCTTTCCCCCCGCCTAATTCTAAATATACATGACTCTGTACTGATATGTCTACAGTAGTTATGCAGGCCCTGATTGATGATATTATTAATAACTAATGAGATAAAGCTCTAGTCCTCCATACAGAATGCATGCAAAACACTTCTAGTTCTATATCTTATATATGGACAAAACAACCGCTAGCTTTTATAGTTCGAAAAAATATTTTTAAGTTGCCTTTTTAAAAATAAATTTATCATTGAGGGTAGAATATTTAGGGGAGTAGTTAGTTGACCATATAATTGCATTGGTTTTAAAGAAATATCTTTTTCTCTGAATAACATATGCCCAGATGTGTGTCTTTCAGTGATATTATATGTTAGCTAAAGATATGAGAGGAAAAAAACTTTAATTATTGACTTCAGTGGTAAACTCCTAAAGTGGAGGAATAATTAATATCCCTTAGTTTATCTTTCTACAGTACAAAATATAGCCAAATGACATTTCAGTCACAGTATTGTTTGAAATAGTGGCATGGGTAGTGTTTCCCCTGTCAGAGACACAAACACGTGCGATCTGGCCCTGGCTGGTGTGGCTCAGTTGGTTGGGCGTGGTCCCACAAACAAAAAGGCCGCTGGTTCGATTCCCAGTCCGCGCACTTGCCTGGTTGCACGTTTGGTCCCTGATCAAGCAACACATCCGTCAGTGTTGCTCTCCCACACTTTCTCCCTCCCTTACTCTCTCTCAAAATAAAAATAAATAAATAAGTTGTTTTCTGAAAAATTGTTATCTGATTTTGAACATGAACTTAATTCCCAAAAAAAAAGTGCTAAAAATATTCTCTCCAAAAGCGGTGGTAGGGGCTCTCTAGTTCCACGATATTTACTATAGAGTTCTTAAAAACAAAAACACAGTCAGTTACACTTTTACACTTGAGTGACTACAAATCGGGACCCCCCCCCCAACATCAGCCTGAAGGGGCCTGAGTCTCACGCGAACTTGCCCTTCCCCAGAGGAGGAAATTCAGCCTCAGAGAAGGTAAAAGACTTGCCCAATCCAGAGCATCTGCTGCTCACCCCAGGGTTCTTTCCCCAGGATCTGGTCTCTCCTCCTCCGTCTAGTGCAGGTGATTGTCGCGTGTATAAACTGATAACCACGATAATAAAACCGCACGTTTACTAAGCACCGCTGCGCCGGCGAGTTAGCTCAGTTAATCTTCCCAGCACCCCTAAAACCGGGCTGTCCCCACTACCCCCACTTTACCTGAGGAACCGGAAGAAGAAGAGCAGTTTAGAAGCAGTCCGAGCTCACCCTCCAGGGAGCGCCTGAGCCAGGACAAACACTCTGGAAATCAAACTCCACTGAACCCCTGTTTAACCCATTAACTGCTTATAGTAAAGTAATGGTGATTAGCAAAAGGTGAAAGATCCCCACGGAGAGCTTTGTCATTAAGCAACTTTTTCTTTTGAGGGTAGGGAATTTCTGGGAGGGAGGGAGGACTTAGGGGAGAAACTATTTTGCATTTCCAACACCCGCCAAGTCGCTGTTGGCAACAGTCTTAGAGCAGGGATGGTAACGTTTGTCACCTGCAAAATACACAGATCAGCCCAGCGAACCAGTTCAGACTTGGGAGGAAAGGGAAATAAAAGCAAAGGGACTGGGAACATCGAAGAGGCTTTAGGAATTCAAAAATAATCCGCAGCAGCAGAACGCAGTCCAAGCCCTCTGAAGCCCCCAGGCCCCCCCCCCAGAACAATGCTGCCTCCCTTGGCCCCTCCCCTCAGCCACCCCTCGTGAAGTTGAGGGGCCCGTGGCCGTGGCCGTGGCCCTGATCTGCCCTCATCTGGAATGACAGATCCCGTCGGCCAGGAATTCCAGGCCACATGCTCAGAAATCACTCCCAGCACTGAGACTTTCAGGGCAATGGCAACGCGGACGCGCTGGCAGAGCTGGATCTTGCGGGTAGGGGGACACACCCCCATGCCCGGCCAGCCCTGGGACGTCTGCAGCCCCCAGCTCCCAGCCCTAGAAAGCAGAGAACCCAAGACTCGGTTCCAGTTCCGGGGGCCAGAGCAGCCCGAGGTCTGCAGTAATCTGGGGACTAGGGGTTAAGAAGTGGGTGTGGGTTTCTCGGCGGGGCGGGGCGAGTCCGCAGCCGTTGGAGACAAGTGCCCTTTTTCATAATCAGCAAAGCCCGCGAGCCCCGCCTGCTTGGCTGGCAGGGATTCGGCGCAGACAGCCCGGAGTTCGAAAGCTCAAAACTTGGCCACGCATCCCCACTGTCAACACCTCCCGCCTCCGCGCTCTGAAAAGTGCGTTCTTTACGAGTCCGAGGTGGCCACAGCGCCATGCTCCAGGGCTCCCCTGCCCACTCTCACCTGTTCCTGAGACTCTCAGCCTCCAGTCTCGCTCTCTCTCACAGCCAGGGCCCAGCAACCAGGCCGTGACCAGTGGCGGGCTAGCCCCGCACCTGGCTCAGCCCCTGTCCACTTCGGTCTCCCGGAGTGGGGTCGTGGGGAGCTTGGCTGGGAGTGCTTTGTTTACAATCCAGGCGTGAGCTGGAGCAGAGGCCGATTCCTCCAGCTCTCTCCTCCCCAAACCTGACACTCAGAGGAAGGGAACTGCGTTCTGCTGAGATCTCAGCCCGCCATTCCCGCAACCTACTCTGTAGTAAGAGGGGCCACATTGGGGGCTTTCGTGATGCTGTACCCGTGACCACCCGCTTCTCCCACTCCCTGTAGCCTAGCCACCATCCTCAGCCTTGAGCTCTTCCTCCAGTCCGGTGCTTAGTCACACCCCTAAAGACCCGCAGAGAAAACTTGGGGAGCACGTGGGAAGGAGGTTCGGCGCCCACTTCTCGAGAGCTCGCTCCCGCAAAGCCTCCTTCCCTGCGTTTTAGAGATCGTGATGCCCAACACGCCCCGGGAACTGAGTGTCGCCTGAGCCCAGACACAGCAAGGCATTTTTGGTAGAAACCACAGAGGCTCGTTTATAAGAGGCTGGAGGAGCCATGGAAGGAATGAGAAGGGCGATAAATGAGCCTTTAAAAGAAAGCTGGGGTCTGCGGAAGGCGCAGCCGGGAAACCCGGAGACCTGCGCTACCCATGTGGCGGCGCGCAGGCTGCAGAATCCGCACGCGCTTCCGCACTAGGAAGGGGCGCGCGTCAGGAAAGGACAGGGAACAAGTTGCTTCGGCCTCCTTATGCCTTCAGATCCTAGTCGGAGCAGGGCACCAGGAGTGCGCCCCTAATCAGGAATGCGCCCCTAATCGCTAGCCAGGCGCAGGAGAGGGGAAGCAAGAAAAAACCCAGGCAGTTTGACAGCACCTGTCGGAGCTGCGAGTAAGACGCCCCTCCCCCAGGCTCCATCACGTCCCCAGGACCTTCTACGTTCACCCCACTACAGCAACGGTCTCTGATTAAAGATCACGGTGGCCATACAGAGCACACCCGGGCAAGTCCCTGAATGCTCGCCCTCCCAGTCCTTAGTGCAGAGGGAGGGGGGAGGGGGGTCCACAGAGGAGCGGTGGGTGTGGAGCAGAGCCGCGGAGAGCGGTTGGGTTGCCTACCGCAGGGGCCCTCTCCTGCTCACCTCGCTCACTGGCCTGGATGTAGCGCACGATGTCGTCCAGGTCCAAGTCTTTGGTCTCATCGAAACTGTAGGAGGATGTATGCAAACCTTCCTCCTGGAAGACCTCGTGGACCCCCTCGAGGGTGAAGTAGCAGTTCCGTTCCAGCTTGTCGTCATTGTACACCAGCGCGGCGCGGCTCCACTGGTGGTGGCGGAACAGGGCGAGCATCATCTCGCCCATCTTAGCATACGCGGGCGACACCCGCGTGAGGTGCGAGTATTCCGAGTCCTTGTGCTGGAAGCCGGCGGCTAGCGCCCCGGCCGACAGCATGGGCAGGTCCCAGTGCGACGCGAGCCGGGCCACCGGCGCCGCCGCGTATTCGCACACTGGCCCGAGAATGAGGTCGGGCTTGGCTCCCCGCGCAGCTGCCACGCGGTCCACCAGGCTGAAGAGCGCGCGGTTGCCGCAGTCTGAGTCTTCATAGGCCACCTGGAAACGAGTGCCTGGTGGCAGAAGGCGCTGCCCAGTCGCGTTGCCCTCCACACTGCGCAGCGCATATTCGATGGCCGGCCGTACACGGGCCAAGGAGAACAGGTAGGAGTCGTCCTGGGGCAACAACACCAGCACCTCGATCTTCTGCGGTGGCAGAGCCTCTCTTTCCCGGCGCCCGCCGCCGCTCCGGACCTCGCCCCCGCCGCCGCCACCCGTGCTGCCGGCTAGCAACGCCCAGCCAAACAGGACAAAAGTCCGCACCAGCTGGGACCGCATCGTGCCGCAGGAAAGCGCCTGCCCTCACTGCTGACTCGCCCTCTGCCCCCCACCCAGCCTTCCTCCTTCCTCCCCACTCTTCTCTCCAAAGTCCCTGCGCCCCGTTGGGCGCTCCAAGAAAATAAAATACCCCCTTCGCTAACTCGCCAAAAGATAGAGAAAAAGAAGAGTCCTTTGTAATATCCTTCGTTTAAAAAAAAAAAGAAAGAAGAAAAAGTTCACCGGGTGTAAACCTGTAGGCCTGTAAATATTTATATATACTTATTATAAATATATATATTCGCCCTCCCTTTATATATGCTATTTTGCTTAGAGGTGGCTTCTATATGGGCGTTGCTAAGGTAGCTTTTGAAACCTTATTTGTAAAAGAAAAAAAGTTAGACTTTCCAAGTGCTTGTAATTGACGGTGCATCTCCCTCGCGTTTGATCTCATTGATTCGCGCCGGTTCCTGGATCCATAACCGGCGTTTAAATAGCGTGGCAGCGGCGGAGCGTGTTACCACACATGGCGCGCCAAGGACGGCTTGTATTTCCAGCGGGTGGGGATGTGGGGGTGGGGAGAGGTGGGGGTTGGGCTGGGGGAGCCTCTCATTAGCATTCTTACATCAGGACTCCTCCCCGCACCCCTTCCCTTCCCATCCCACACTTGTCGGTAACCCCTACTCCCCGCTAGCCCTCGGCCTTTTCCTTACAGCCACAGTTGCCCACGTCTGCACCCGCTGGAGACCCCACCACACTGCAACGCCTCTGGGGTCTCCACCTTTCCTCGCCCCGCACAAGAGCGCTCTCTCCAGCATTAGGCTTTAAAAAAGGAAATGCTTTCGAAAGGACACAAATGCGTGCAGGCACACTCACATCATGCAAAAATAAACAACAGGATTAGAGAAAGGGGTGGTCCTAAAAATTAGTAGCTTGGTTGCAAAAATCCGTGGGTCCGGTTCTCTCTCACCTCTTTCTCAGTCCGGCCACATTCTCTCCAGACGCGCAAACTCCGGCCGGCACGCGACCTTACCTGTCCCCCGGCGCAAAGTGAGGGAACGGGGACCACGAACCCTATGCTGGAGCCTCGATCTCGGACCTCGAACGCCCTGCTAGCTGGGGTGTTAGTCACGCCACTCCTTCCCCAGTTTAGCGTCAGTCCCCTGCCTCTGGGCTGCCAGGGTTCGAGCTAGAGTCCCCGCGTAGCGGGGATGACCGTGTCCCTGCGCACAGACCCTCTGCCGGCGTACTGCGAGCGAGCAGGAAAGCGAAACTTGTTGCTCCCAAAGGCGAGCGAACGGTTCGGTTTCTGGAAGTGATAGAAAGTCTGAGAAGCATCTTCAAGAGGTCCTCCGAACTCTGTTTGCTAAACCAGGTAACTAAGTAAAGAGACCTTCTCCTCAAATCGTTACCCTGAGGGTCCCCTGGGCGCAGGCGCACGCTCAGCTCCCGGTCTCGCGCTCGGAAATCCAACCGCGTCTCCTAGGGAGCGCGCGAGACTGTGCTCAGAATTCTGCAGCGCCCGGAAAGGTCTTCCCTCGGAGACGCAGTCCTGTCACTGGTCACAGCCACAACCGCAGTAGAGACCAGGATGGAAACGGCCGCCGAGAAGTCCGCGCTGCAGGGCCAGTCCAAACGAACTTGACCCTCTGAACGTGGTAGCTAACACGCTGAGGTCATTGGCCATGGGAACGTGCTACACTGGACAGGCAAGTTCTGAAATTTAAGTCCCACAAATTAAAATAAATTGAAAGTGTTTTAAAATGTCTTTCATTTGACTACTGGGTGCCGTGTCCGCAAATGTGTATTTGTCTTAGACTAACGCCCTCTTTCGGCAGAAACTCGAAGCCAACTGATATCGCTGGTGCCCCCATCCCAGGTGCTGCCAGTTTGTTTCTCTGTCTGTCTGTCTGTCTGCCTGTCTATTTGTTTGAACGCCGAGGCCAGAGATCAATCGCTCTCGCTCTCGTTGGAGACGTGAAAAGGCAAATAGGGGTTTCCAGACATGTGGCAAGTTCAGGCATCAGCGCCCGCTGCCGTTAACAGCATCCTCCTTCGGTCTTTTCTGGAACCGAAAATGTAGTTATTGGTAACTTTTTATCCTCTGGATCATTTAAATTTCAGGTTATGCACTATGATTCCTGATGGAGGAGCCTCTAACTCCTACGAGAACTTTCATTTATTTCATTAGAGCTGCTAATCAGTAGCAAAAGAGGCGTCTATCTGTGCAAAATTTAAATCCACAAACAAGGTAATACGCACACAGTGGAAATTCAAATTTAGAGCTTCACAGCAATTAAATCCTTCCTGCACTCCTAGGAAGAGAGGGAGAGAGGAGGGAGGGAGAGGAGGAAGGAAATAGAGAAAGAGGGAAAGAAAGAAGGAAGGAAGAGAGAGAACAATGGCTAAATCCAAGGGTCTTAATGGCTTTCCAAACCGGTTGCCAGGAGACGTCAAGAAACCGGGGTTTCCTATTACTGCCGGCCCTGCGCTGCGTCCGTGGAATGCCGGCCAATGGCGATAGGGTTCTGCACACTGTGGAGCCTGGGCTTACTCCGGAGTCTGGGATCTCAGTGGCACTGGGCGTGAATACCTCCCCCCTTCGCAGGCGCTGCCCAGGGAGCAGAGGGGCAAAGGGTCACACACAGGGCAGTGAGTTTACGTTTGGGTATCGGCCTCTCGGTGGCCTTTGGATTAGAGCTCTCAACCTCCAGCTTGTCACTCGAGAGCACCGACAAACCAGGCTGTGTCTGGGAAGAGTCCCTGTACTACTTCCCAGCAGAACCAGAAACGCCAGCGTTGCTGCTCTCGCTGACGCTCAAAGCACCCCTTCAAACCTTCCAAAGAACAAAAATTGGGATTTTTTTTTCAAAGTTTGTTTAATGAAAATAGGCACCAGAGGATCGGATGACCCACCGAGTAATATAAGTAGACAGATTTTTAATATGATGAGTTTACTTTCCATCAAATTAGTTTTTTCCCAAGCTGCTGAAAGTCTGTAAATACTGTAAGTGTCATGGAGTTCTTCAATCTGGAGCCTAGGAAAAGACCTTAGACGTCACCCAGTCTGACACCCAGCACTCTCTAGATAAAGAACTGAGGCCCAAAGAACATAAATGGTGTATTTAATAACTTCATCCCCTGAGAATATTTTATTTGGATTCCAAATAAAGCATGTCCCACCTGCGACACCACATAAAAGAGGGAAGAAAGCCAGCTTTCACTCTAAGTAATAATAACACTCTTTATATTGAAACTTTACTTCATGTGAACTTTTGAGAATATACAGCACAGTAAGATTGCTAATACTTTACAATAGAATTTTTGTAACATTAGAATCACGAAAATGAGTGAAACCCAGAAAGAAGGGGAAAAACACACACACAAAAATGAAGTAACTCATCCCTTAGACTCAATTTTAAAATATTGTTCCTTTCCAATCTGTAAAATACTGAAACAGGGGAGAAAGCACCTTTTTCAACATTCGAAGAATTGCTGTTCTCTGAATGCATGCTTTCAGGCTACCATGGCTGGATGAAAACAAAAGAAAGTCACAGAAAACAAAAGAAAGCCACAAAATAAAATAAAATTAGCCAAATGAAAGCCTAAAGGCAACATTAGCCCTAAACATGTTGTGACAGAAACCAATAATTCTCATAGAATTTAGAAATGTTTTCCTCAATATCCACAAATCTTATTTTTTTAACTTTAAGTTGCTAAAATAGAGTGGCAAATTTTACATAATGATATAGTGATTAGTTTTTCAGCTCTGTGAAACGAAACCACTGTCTATGTCTATCCTTCTGCTACCAGGAAAACCAACATTATATAGGGAATCTTCACATGTGATTCTTTGAAATGTGTTAGAAATGCTATAGGAGAGAAGTTTTCTCTGCCCGTTGTAATCGTCTGTATGACCACCTTCCTCAGAGTCCTGGTGGCAACTCTGAAGCGAGAGCCCCTGCAGATTTTCAGAGAGAACCTCTGCTCCCTTTTCAGCCAGCCCTGCAGTCACAGTGGAGAATATCTTGATGCCTGTAGCCTGCAAAGAAAACCTTCAGAGGACTGAATTGTTGAAAACACACTTCCCCCTAGAGGCAGAAAAGATGAAAGAATATCACACATAACTCCAGAACATTTCTGTAATGTAACGAGCGTTGAGACCCTATTTTAAATATAGTTGGTGTTTTAGAGGGAACGTTCATGACGCAGGAGAAAGATCAGTGAATGCCAAAAATCTGAATTAAAACTTCACACACACCAATACTGACTTTAATTGGTTTATTTGCTTGTACACTAGAAAAAAATTGAGAAGGCACATTAAAAAATGGAATTTTAGAAAAGATTCTTTGGGGCAAAATGTGTTGGATCCTATTCTCTTGGATGCTACTTTGTTTTTCAAGGCTTTACTAATGTAATGGTTCCAAGCTCAGCAACATTTTCCTCCCCTGAGTGGCCATAGTTACCAATCACACTCCATTTTCTGTCCATCTACAGAGAGGTGGTCTGGGTGGAGATCCAGTCTAGGGAGAAGTATGTCATGGGAACAGCAGGCATCTGGAAGACCCCCCCCAACATGTCCAGAGGTTATCGCCTAGCCTCTTTGACCTTTGCTTTCCTCGCTTGCCTCAATTTTCTTACTTTTAACACAGAGATAATAATATCATCCCGTGCTGCAGAAGGGTCAGAAATGATGGGGGCAAAGTGCTTCAAGTAGTGGGAAATTAATACACGGCAGTCCTTGGTATTATAGTTTTTTTTAACGCCTGGTTAAGAGTGTTACATACCAAGTACATGTTCAATAAATGCTTGTGAAATAAAGGAATGTTTGAAATCCCAAAATAATATGGCTATGTGTATGTTGTTTGGAATTAGCTATTGCGTAATCACAATGGATCTTATTTAATAATGCTGTTTTGGTGACAGTGGCCTTCCTGTGGGAACCTCCTTGGCCATGACTCTGATATTGGCCCTGGATTCCCACACTCAGATATTTCCTGGTAAGCCTGAGACAAGAGCTGGTTCAATATCCTCTCTTCTGTCTGTGTAGTTTTGCAAAGACAGCAGGAGCTCAGGCTGCTGCCCCAGAGCTGCTGTGAGAGCTCTGAGGCTTCAGAAGCTCAGGCTGCTTCCAGCCTTAGAGAACATAAGGGAGCAAGGGGAGACAGGGAGACATCAGAGTGATTTAAAAAAAAAAAAAAACACAGGAAAAATTAGAAGTGGCTGTGCAAATGGGCAGGACTTTGAGGATGAGGGAGGAATATGCAGGTTATATGGAAGCAGAAGAGGATTGTAGTGGAAGGAATGTATTTAATTTCTAGATCAAGGGTATTATTAGTAATTATAAAAAAGTAGAATGTTTCCCAATGTACTAAATCCACAGGCTATAAAGATATCAGGCCCAGGGCTTAGTGCACTTGTTTGATTCAACCTTTTAAACACCCACAGTGTGTCAATGACGGTGTTCTAGCTTAAACCTAATGTAGCAGACATTCTTTTTTTTTTTGTTTTGCTTGAGGGTGTGATTTGACCTAAGCTATATCTAAATCTTTAAGATAGTCAATTGTGTTATAAC